GCTCCGGGGGGCGGCTTCAGCACGGGGCCCCTCCGTGTCCTAGCTCCCCTCTGCCGCGGAGCTGGCACTTCGCCCCTTGCTCGCAATTAGTTGTGGCGGGGGGGGAGGAGGACAGAGAGCAGGGCCGGTTCGTTTTAGGCTGGGCTGCGCAGGGTTACCTACGTTGTTGGCGGGGCGGACTTCCCGGTCATTGAGGCCATGTAAGACAGTGTTTCCCAACCAGTGCCGTCGGCAGCGAACAGGTGCGCCCGGGAATTGTGCCATGGCAATGAGCTGCAATAGGTATGAGGATAAGGAATACCTTAACAGGTGCCCCGCTGAAATTTTGTATTCATGCAAGTGTGCCTTGGGCTGGAGAAAGTTGGGAAGCACTGATGTAAGGCCACCTAGAGCCCAGTCTAGCACGGCAAATAGTTTGTTAGTTAAAAAAAAAAAAGTCATGAAGTTTATTTCCTACCTATGAGGACTTTTTTTTACTGTCTTTAATTTTCCCTGAGCCTGATAAAGGGCCTGTGGGTCCAAAAGCTTGCAGAAAAAAGATTATTATTTTTTGCAGTGTCTTAGTGGGTCTAATAAAAGGTGTCATCTCTGAACCAAGAGTCCTTGAGTTTTGCATTTCTTAGTAAAAAAGGGAACATGGAGAAGCCCCTCCATCAGTGGCATCTCGGCATGGCCTTTAGGGCACGCTGAGATGTGAAGTGGGGCGTACACCTGTATCCTTTAGAAGAAAATGTAATTAACACAAATTGCTAGAATTCAGGATTCAACTTTTCTGTAGTGGTAGATACAGACTTTACAGCTCTTACAAGACACTTTCTGAAAAAAAGAAAGAAAAAGAGAGTTGACAAAGCAGAAGAAGCCAACTTAGAGCTCCACAAAGCACCGGGCTTCTGGGAGAATATCAGTAACACCTCACCGGAGACTTTCTTCCTGTTCCATGCTTTCTTTCTTTTTTTTTTTAAAGATATCTCAAATTGCTATAGAAAAAAGGAACTGTTCAGTGAGTTGATCAAAGTACTGAACTACAATCCATGCTATTACCACAAGGACACATCTGTCATGTTTGTAATCTTATTATTGTGACTGTTAATAACAGATGTCCTGGGTTTTTGTTTTTGTTTTTTTTAAGTTAGGCCTATTAGCAATATCAAATGTAATAAAGCCTGGATCTATCAAGTGCAAAACCATATTTTGTATTTCTTGCAAAGTCAAAATGTCATCTTTCCAATATTAACAAACTCTCAAGTGATATAAATGTAGCTAGACTCATGTTCTTTAGAATCCATCTGATTTTGTTGGAACGGAAAATAAACCATTCAAATGCCATTTCAAGCAAAAACAGTAAAACAAAGGTCATCATACAAGTATCAGCTTTTATTTTCACCAGCATGCATGTACAAACCAATGTTTAAATTAAACCTGTCTGTCATCTTTCAGTACAATGAAGTATTAACTCAGTTGCTTCTTCCTTAACTTCAGCAAGGCAACAAGATGTTAGTCAATATGTGGAAGTGTTTGCAAAAAAAAGGAAAGAAAATAATAGAATCACTACAGCAAACACTATAGGGTTCTGAGGTGGAATCTGGTTTACTTGAATGTTATTGCACTGAAGCCAACAGAGCTTTCTTGTGATTAAGTTGAACATGATTTGTTTTTGCTGGAGTCATTTTGACCCAGCAAGTAGCAAAAACTAGATTCCCTGAGTAGGGCTTATACTTGGCATATACATGAAGAGGAGATAGCTAAGGAGTTATTCAATAAATCTCTGGTTCTGAACCTTTTTAGACTCAAGGCACTCCTCGGAAAGTGCCAGCTCTTAGATTTCACTTGCTTTTTTATTACAGAAAACTACTAGAGCAATTTTTCTGTTGAAAAGAACTCATAAAAATAGCAATAGTTTAGAGGGGAGTAGGTTGTAGCTGTGTTGGTCTAAGGACATAGGCAGACAAGGCTCTTGGGTGAATCTGATTTCTTTTATTAGACCAACTTAAATAGTTCAAAACCGGAAAGCTTGCTTAAAAATTGTTCTCCAACTATTTAAGTTGGTCTGATAAAAGATACCAGATTCACCCAAAGAACCTTGTCTGCAATAGTTTAGAGCAGGGTAGGCAACGTTTTTTGGCCGGAGTGCCAAAAAAACTACAATGTCTACCTTGGAAAGTGCCCAAGTGCTGTCATGCTGGAGCCCGGAGCAGCTGTTAGCAGCCTCCAGGCTGCAGCCAGTACCTGGGGCCCAGTCTGCTTGCACCAGGGCTTGCAGCCTCCCAGCTGCCTGCTGGGAGCAGTCTGGGCTCCGTGGCTGGCAGCAGCTGCTTAGAGCCCGGGCTGGCAGTGGTGTGCCAAGCAAAATGGCCTTGCATGCTAGGTTCAGCATGTGTGCCGGGGGTTGCTGACCCCTGGTTTAGAGTGTTTTTAACCTTATAAGCCAGAGCCAGATGTGCAGGCATGTGAGGTTTTTGGCCTGTACATCCGTATGCCTGGCATGTTAAACTGTGCACGGTACTGCTAATTTGCATTTCCTGGTAGCAAACATGGAGATCAGGGAGCAGGTAGCCCAGAGCTGTCTCCATGTGCTGCAGAGCCCCATGCCATGTGCCCCAGCAGGACAATGTGTCCCGCTGCAAAGCCCATGGGCAGGGGCATGAACTGCAGCACAAAACAGTGGCAAAAAATTGTGCTGCTATTATTTGTGCTGCCGCAAACGCATGGCTCATCTCATGTAGATGTGGCCATGGATTCCTGTGTGAAATCCTGTGATTCTAACAGGTAAAAGCCAGAATCAAGGTCTCGCAAACATGCTGTCATCCACAAAATAAATCAAGAATATTATATATAATCTTGGGTAATCTCATATAATATGCCAGGCATATAGGGCTGCATGAAAGGTGGCACAAAGATGCTAACAGAAGGCTGTGGAAATACAGCTGCTAATGCTAAGCCGCCAGAACATGTGCTCTGTGGGGCTACACTTAGCAGCAGTGCCACCAGAGTGAGAAGTGTCCCTGGGGAAGGTGCTAGCTGCTGAAGGGACCTCTAGCAGCAAAGATACATCTTGTCAGATGATGGCACTTTGCTTATCAGCAGAAAGGAGGGCTCTGCTACCAAAGGTGAACTTTGGATATGGATGCACCGAGTTTTTCTGGCAGACCCAGAATAGATTATGCCTACTGTATATGAATGAGCACTCTTCAAGCAGTGGGCGCCATATTCCTATTATACATGAACCAATCACGCCTCAAGCGTTAGTAGTTACCTAGTTATCTGTTCTGGTCCAATCTATCCTGATTTGGACAAGGCTAGGTTAGCTGGCCACCACACTCAAAATTGCCACTCTGATGCAGGAAAAATTGGCCATATCCACCCTCAGCAGGCCTCTCCCTCTGGTGCTCCCAATGTCTGGCACAAATTATAAGGCAACTTAATACAAAATTGGCCCTGGAAATCGTTTATTAATGCAGGATGCTTCTGATCTTGATTATGTTATGCATTTACAGTACATTTTAATGCAAGGTATTACGAACTATTTGAGTACAGTGCCTAGCACAATTAACTCCTGGTCTATGCTTAGGACTCCTAGGTCCTCATGTAATAAAAATAGGAAAGAAGTTATTTAGGGGGAAAACAAAGGACAGAAGAAAACAGCAGAACAGGAAGGCTGGATTTACAACCCTTCACTAGACTTCATTATCAGGATAAACCATAGGGCTCTTCCATGGAGCTTGCTATATCACCTGACATGACTGAGGGCTCTGCCATTACCAAGTCAGTGACTCCAGGGAAAGTGCTGTGAGATGAGCCAGGTGTTCTGGGCTTTTACAGATGTTCTTAATTAAATGGAAAGAAGACACACTTCATGGAAAATAGGGACACCTGCTCCATAAAGGGAGAATCAAAGAGAGTCTGGGTTGTGACTGTGGATGATTGTCCAATTAGATCATTTAATGGTGATCTAAAATCAATCCATGCAGCTACCCCTGAAGCAGTTGAATGGCTATCAAATTTAGGTATCAATCTATGACATTGTATGAATGTTGTAATCCTAAAATGTCATACGAAAGAGAGAGAGAACGGAAAGAAGGGATTTGTTCTTGGAATAGAAAAAGACGAAGCAGAGAGCATTCAGAACCAGAAGAGTGTTCTGGTTCACAGCTGGGGCTACGAAGGGTATATTCTTCCTCTTCCTTTTTCTTTGCAGACTTCCTCTGCGGCTTTGGTTGTGGTGTGTGGCCGTGCAGGAAAAGGCCGGCCATTTCCTTAGCAGGCCTGTTTCCTTTCAAGAGATGAGCTAGAGTGAGAACATGACTGGACACACATCCTTTCCCAGGCAGCTTCCTCCAGGCGGCTTCCTCTTGCCCGTTGACCGTGCCTCGCCCTGTGGACATGGCTCAGAGTGGTCTAACGCACTGCTCCGACTAGTTTAGAGACACGGGGGTCTCAGTGGATTAACCCCTTGCTCCCCGCATTGCTGCCGGGACCACGCACGAGAGTGGCTACCTGGCTGCACCACGCCAGCCGGGCGTGGAGGGGCTGAAGCCGGGGATGGTGTGAAGGGAGGGCAATGTCGAGCTGGCCGAGCACACGCACGCGGGCAGGGTAAATGCCCTGGGAGGCAGCAGGGTGGGGGTCAAACCGCTTGGTCTAAGCAGCTTAGGAGCGATTATGCTGCTGATTTAAACGCCCGCGGGCGCCGGGGCCAGGAGCGGGAGCGGCCGGGGGAAGTTGCCGGAGGCAGCTGGCTGCAGAGGGAGTTACCACTTGAGGGGCCCGGGACATCTCGGCGGAGCACAGTAAGTCCGGCCCCCGGGGCGCGGGGCGGGGAGGGGGCACCGGGACCCGCCGGCTCCCCTCGGGTAACGCTGTCCCCCGCCCGCGCGCAGGGGGAAGATGCCCGTGATCAACATCGAGGATCTGACCGAGAAGGACAAGCTGAAGATGGAAGTGGAGCAGCTCAAGAAAGAAGTGACGTTGCAGAGAGAAGCGGTGAGCGAGCGCGGGGCAGGCAGCGCCCGCCCGGCTCCGCCGACGGGGAGGCGGGAGCGAGCCCCGGGCGGCAGCGGAGCAAGCACCCTGGGGCCGGAGGGCC